GATGAAAATTTTATATTTTTAAAAGAAATTGCAAAGAATTTTTAAAACTTTTTATTTGTGTACATAATTGGTATGAAAAATTGTAAATGAAATTTTCAATAAAATGTCTAATCTAGTAACTCTTGTTTTTTGACAATAGTAATAAATAATTGTATTTTTTATTTAAAATCAGTTGAATTACAGCAGAGAACGCATGCATTACATATAAGTATTTATCAATTTACTTAAAAATTACATTTATTATTTCAATACTAAGTGTTTATTTATGTTCTTCGTTCGTTTTAAGCTTTGATAAGTTTATTTTATTTATGTCTAATTTAGTAACTTTTATTTTTTAACAGTTGCCACATCAACAATTTATTACAATTGGTGAGATAAATGTAACTTTTGTTTTTTGACAATACTAATAAATTATTGTAATTTTTATTTAAAATCAGTTGAATTACAGCAGAAAACGCAAGCATTACATATAACTATTTATCAATTCACATAAATATTACATTTATTATTTCAATACTAATTGTTTGTTTATGTTCTTCATCCGTTTTAAGCTTTGATAAGTTTATTTTATTTATGTCTAATTTAGTAACTTTTATTTCTTAACAGTTGCCATATCAATAACTTATTACAATTGGTGCGATAAATGTCTAATCTAGTAACTTTTGTTTTTTGACAATAGTAATAAATAATTGTAATTTTTATTTAAAATCAGTTGAATTCAGCAGAAAACGCATGCATTACATATAACTATTTATCAATTTACTTAAAAATTACATTTATTATTTCAATACTTAGTGTTTATTTATGTTCTTCGTTCGTTTTAAACTTTGATAGTTTTATTTTTATTTATGTCTAATTTAGTAACTTTTATTTTTATCAGTTGCCATATCAACAATTTATTACAATTGGTGCGATAAATGTCTAATCTAGTAACTTTTGATTTTTGACAATAGTAATAAATTATTATAATTTTTATTTAGAATCAGTTGAATTACATTACATTAATATTATTAAAATGCAAATATGATAATACAGTAAAGTGCGAATTGCATTATGGGTTTCAGTTCTCTCTATCTCTCTCTCTCTGTTTGCGTCATAGGCGTACATATATAAATAATAGCGGAATGCTGGCGGCGCGCGTATTTCAAAGCCCGATACACATTGTATAAATTACCAGAGCAAATTTGAATTTTGATTGGTTTACACGTACACGAATTCAAATTAGAGCCAATCAAAAGTCCCAATTTGAATTCATTATTATGGCACTCTCTGCTCCGTGTGAAACCGTCCTTTCGTTCAATATACACATACACTTATAAATTGTTTATTCGCTAATTTCAGAATTCATACAATAGTTTTCCAGTTATTCAATTAGTTTTACAATACAATTTAGTCAGTGGCGTAACATGAAATGCATCGACCAATCAACATAAGAGTGTCTTTTTTTTTTCTTTTTTTTTCCCGGGAAATTTAAAATTAATATTTTTTTTTGTATCAAATTATGTATAATAAATAGAAATCATTGAAATAAGAGTAATAAAAAAACGCACGAGGCAACAATCTTTCTGCTCAATATATCGCCCAAATATATAATAAAGTTATCAAATGAGTTTTTTTCCATTTCCTCGGTTATCGATCGGCGCTCGTTTGATTTAATAGCCTTAATTTGAAATACTTCGCTCACAGATTTGTGTGCGAGTTGCGGGGGCTCCGCATACGTTTTTTCCTTCTTTTCCTCCCTCAGTTTCCATCTGCGTTGGACCGATTTTTTGTTGTTGTCGTCCTTTCGTTTCTTTTCTTTTTTTTAACCCAAGCCAAGAGAAGCCCGCATTTCCAAATTTATTTTTGTTGCTTATTTTTAATGGAACGGAATGGATCAGAATGGGGAAGTTTATTTGTCCAATTTATCAGAAGGCTTGATGAGATGTCGAGACTCGCGACTGCAAATAAATCTAGAGACTTATTTTGATCTCTCTTTTTCTCTCTTTCTAACGCACATATTCTTCAATTGCGAGTGATATCTCGGACCCGTACTTTCTGCTCCTCATTAACCCTAATAGCACGAACATCCCTACTATAAACATGTAATAAATAATACTCTGCCTGATTTGCGCATTATAATTATTAAGTATACTCAACAGATTACATATACTTTGCAAATTTTTATCAAAATAAAACTATCAAAGTTTAAAACGGATGAAGAACATAAATAAACACTTAGTAGTGAAATAATAAATGTAATATTTATGTAAATTGACGAATAGTTATATGTAATGCATGCATTTTCTGCTGTAATTCAACTGATTTTAAATAAAAATTACAATTATTTATTACTATTGTCAAAAAACAACAGTTACTAGATTAGACATTTATCGCACCAATTGCAATAAATTGTTGATGTGGCAACTGTTAAAAAATAAAAGTTACTAAATTAGACATAAATAAAAATAAAACTGTCAAAGTTTAAAAACGAACGAAGAACATAAATAAACACTTAGTATTGAAATAATAAATGTAATTTTTATTTGAATTGATAAATAGTTATATGTAATGCATGCGTTTTCTGCTGTAATTTAAATAAAAATTACAATTATTTATTAGTATTGTCAAAAAACAAAAGTTACTACATTAGACATTTATCGCACCAATTGTAATAAATTGTTGATATGGCAACTGTTAAAAAATAAAAGTTACTAAATTAGACATAAAAAAAACAAAAGTTACTAGATCAGACATTTATCGCGTGCGTTTTCTGTCAAGTGAATGTCACTTGTACGATTGTATAAATTGTATATGAAATTCGTTTTTGGTCTTGTCTCATCCATAAATCGTGGTGAACGGTAACGGCCGAGCGCGGAGTTAATATTTTAAGCGTTTCAGACAATCAAAGAACAATTAATTTCCTCGTCCTTTGCACACCATAAAGTATCATCAAAAGCCAGAGGCAATAAACATAAGAGCTGCCTTCTGCCGGAATTAATTTGGTAGATTAAAAGGGCGAAGCAACTGGCCGCAAATAAAATGCACGTTGCATTTGCGTAATTAAATTTAAAACAGATTGAACGGATCTAGTTTAATGTTGTTTCCCTTTCTCTGACCATTAAAGCAAATTTCGCACACTCTTATACATTTTATATAAGAAAGGATAGGAAGAAAAAAAAAATAAGGGATAGATGCAGTAAAAGATGTGATGTATGTGATGCGGATGAGTTATGAATTATGCAAGTTGAAGTGTACTTAAGGGAGAACACTTGTTAAAAATGGCGGTCGCTTTTTAAACACTGTTGACACTTATGGAAATTTATTAGCAATTTCGCGCCAGGACCTCGCGCGTCCTCGTCCTCCCGTTTGCCTTTTCAACGGGAAAACTTATTTATCGTGGAGCATGAGAAGAACTGCCCGACCCTGCAACAACTACCACTTTTAATTACTTCACGGAATCGATCCTCGGTATTCCTGATTATTACCGGCAATTACATTAATTTTAATTACCTCATTAAAGGGCGCGCACCCTGCCCATTCACCTCCCCCGATCGATACTTATTATATATAGCGCAAAATGATTCGAAGACTAGAATTGCACACTGTGCACTCACTATTATAATTAAATCCAATCGCAGATTTTATAGTTCAAGTTTCAACGCAAAATGACAGCTGTCGCCTTGTGTCAAAAAATGAGGAATTTTAGCAGTTAGGTCGTAATACAACTACAAACAAATAACTTTACTATTTTTATATATATATATGCTAAAACTTAACATCTTCTTCTATCATAATATAAATGTCATATTTTTTCGGATAAAAAGATTTAATAACATTATAATTATTTATTAGTATTGTCAAAAAATAAAAGTTACTAGATTAGACACTGATCGCACCAATTGTAATAAATTGTTGATATGGTAACTGTTAAAAAATAAAAGTTACTAAATTAGACATAAATAAAATAAAACTATCAAAGTTTAAAACGGACGAAGAACATAAATAAACACTAAGTATTGAAATAATAAATGTAATATTTATGTAAATTGATAAATAGTTATATGTAATGCATGCGTTTTCTGCTCTAATTTAAGTTATTTTAAATAAAAATTACAATAATTTATTAGTATTGTCAAAAAACAAAAGTTACTAGATTAGACACTGATCGCACCAATTGTAATAAATT